TATATATATATATATATATATATATATGTATATATATATGCATGCATGTTTGTATGCGTTTATGATTTTAAAATAACTGCTACGTAGAAATAAACAAAAGAATTTAATAAATAAATACATATATATATATATATATATGTATATATATATAAATATTTTAATATATGCATGCATGCATGCATGCATGCATGCATCGGTGTGGCAGCGGCAGCTCTGTGTTGCGTTGGTGACGAAACGGAGTATTTTTTTTTGTGTATTTGTTTAAATATATAATTTTAATTAAATAATTTAATTTAATAAATAAATTAATTTATTTTTATTCCGAAAAGTGGCTGGATTTCTCCTTTTTTTTCTCTCTTTTTCTCTCTTTCTCTGCATGCATGCATGCATGCATGCATTGCAACTGAGGTGTACATACACCCCAAAAAAAAACGATATTTTTGCTCGCGTTTGTGTTATAAATAAATTTTTTGTTTTATTTTTTAATATTAAATTAATATTTCAATAAAATAAACAAAAAAAAACGAAAAAACTTCTCTCTATTTCACCATGAGCTACAGGGGGGGCCGCCCCTCTGATAGAGAAAGAGAAAGAGATAGAGATAGAGACAGAGACAGAGACAGAGACAGAGACAGAGACAGAGATAGAGAGAGAGATAGAGAGAGAGATAGGGATAGGGATAGGGATAGAGACAGAGATAGAGATAGAGAGAGAGAAAGAGAAAGAGAAAGAGAGAGAGATCTATGGGCGAGAGGAAGACACAGAGGGACGGGGGGATCATCAAGATACAGGTAATTTAATTTTTATTTTTTTTTTGTTTTTTGTTTTTCTTTATTTTTTTGTCTTCTTTCTTCTTCAGCTCAAAGAATTGAATATATATATATATATATATATATATATANTATATATATATATATATATATATATATATATATATATATATATATATATATATATATATATATATTTTTTGTTTTTTATTTGCATGCAGAGACGGCGGTTATAGCCGTGACGACGGTCACCGGAGCAGCAGCAGGTGGCCTTACAGCAGCAGCAGCAGCAGCAGCAGCAAGAACAACAGCAGCAGCAGCAGCAGCAGCAGATACCATCGTCGTTCTCACAGCAGCTCAAGAGAAAGAAGAGAATGGAAGCGTCGTTTGTTGCAGCGTCGGCGTGAGCGCAGCAGCAGCAGCGAATCAGAGGCACCTGCTGCAGCAGGAGGACCAGCAGCAGCAGCAGCAGCAGCAGCAGCAGCAGCAGCAGCAGCAGGAGAAATAAATGAAGATGAACTTATGCAACAAATTATGGGGTTTGGGGACTTCTCATCAACTAAAGGAAAGGACCATACAGCCACAGATCTATCTGGTGTTAGTAAACGCTCAAGAAGAAAATATAGACAGTATATGAATAGAAAGGGAGGGTTTAATCGGCCTCTATCACCTGTATTTTAATTTATTTATATTTATTTTGTTCTTTATTTTATTCTCTATTCTTTTCTCTCTTATTTTATATATTATATGTTATATTTATTATAAACGCCCCAAAAGAAAATACAAAAAATATATATGAATAGAAAGGGAGGGTTTAATCGGCCTCTATCACCTGTATTTTAATTTATTTATATTTATTTTATTCTTTATTATATTCTGTATTTTATTCTGTATTTTATTTTTTATTTTATTATTTATTTTATTCTCTATTCTTTTCTCTTTTATTTTATATATTATATGTTATATTATGTTTATTATAAACGCCCCAAAAGAAAATACAAAAAATGTATGCATAGAAAGGGGGGGGTAGTCCTTATATATA